TCGGGCGCCAGTTATCAGGACTTAATGTTCTGTGCATACTTTTGGCAAACATAATGGTGCTAGTATCAATGTCCTGACTCGAACAGTGAGCTGAATGCAGCTATGTTCTTAAGAGTGCTAGAAGAATTACAACGTAAGAAGAGTGTAAAAGACCCTTTTATTGAAATCACTATATACAGCCAACTCCCAACTTGGGAGTGATAACAGAAAAGAATAATAATCGCGCTTGGGTCTTGAACAATCAAGCAATTTAAAAGTAAAACTTCAGTAGATATTTAAATAGTCGCTGTCACAGAGCTTAAACGTGAGATTGGCCTATTTATGGTGCATAGCAAGGCTTTGCTAAGTACTAACGCACTAAATCACTTTGAATAGCACTAAGGCATATGTATTTGAGGAATAGCACTAAGGCGTAAGAATTTAAATACTACTATTCTCGCGAACGTCCACGGAGCCGACGTGGTCTGAGACTAAAAGCTCTCTCTCACTTGAGAAGTTTCTCACTAACCTTAAATACAAAACTTGGCTCCAAAACAAATTAGCATAAAGCTGAACCGTGCGCTCATTCTGAAGGGAAGTGGAAATAAGAGTTCACAGGAAAGGGTAACTTAAAATAAAAAGAAACTGTTAGTTTAACTTAAAACCTCACAGCGTAAACGCTATGGATACGCAGAAAGTTTGTAGCTTTGAGGTCCTCATTATAGATCATTCCGGATTAAAGACTTTGTACTGTATATGTTATATATATACCGTATAACCGTCCGTTATACGGGACTATATATAGTGTTACGAAATGTACAAACGCGGTGAGATGGCTTCCCCGCAAAGATGTTTTAGGGTTGCCATAAAATAGTAAAGAAAGCAGGGTTGCCACATTTGGCAAGAAATTGCCCATGTGGCGACATTTGACGACAAAATTGGCGATATACCATGGACAGATGGACCTTCTGGAACGAATTCTTACTGGTTTAGCCCAGAATGTTCTCGAACACAACCCGAAAGCTATATAAATCCTGCTGGTCCGCAGTCAGTTAGTGTGTGTGCCTCGTCTAGTGAGTTGATAGTCAGTCATTGAGTGATTGTCTCGAAGTCTAGCGCCGAGTTGGTCGTCGAGTGCATCGAGAGAGTCTTTTAGTGCATCGTTGAGTTTTGTCTTAGACTGTCCTGAGTCGAGAGCTATACTCTTGTGTATCATCGAGTGCATCGCGTGGAGAGTCTCGAGAGTATGTGGAGTTCCGAGAACGACCAAGCAGAGTTGAGAGCTATACTCAGGTGCTTGGCAGTGAAGCTGTGTCCGCCGTTGTTGCCGGACAGTGTGAAGGTTGTGTCACTGAACTTGTCAGTGTTTTTATAACAGTTCGATGACTGTAAAAGTGATTTTGGAGCTGTCTGATTAATATTGGTAAATAAAGTGTGTTTTGATACTTCATCAAGTGTCGTCGTTATTCAGTGCAAACCTATGAACCCCGTACGAACGTGAAGGAAGAAAATAACGTAACAACTGGTGTCAGAAAAGAAAGAAGCAACAATATCATAATATAATATGAATCTATCATAATAGAAAATGTTTATTAAATCCAAATAATATTAATATGTATATAATTAAGGAAAGGTTATTGCAAGATTGTGTGTGAGATTAGTTAATGACATTAACAATTAAAATATTAAAATCAATGATATAACAGTGCTACATATGAAGAAAATGTAGGGGTAATAAATGTAAATAAGTTCATTTTTATGCCTTAGTTCTTCTGCTTCAATGGAAGAAACCTACTTCTTCCAGCTGGGTTTTCCGAAAAAGAAACTTTCTAACCCTAATTAGTGAATCAGTAATAACAGTCACATAATTGTTTAGTTGCTTAGTTTATTTATTTATCTATTGTTTAGTTTGATTTGATTATGGCAAAGTATGCAAATCTGCATAAAAGGAAGGACACCTTTGTAGAGGAGTTTTTAAGTAAAACTGGTTTGTATCCACATTACACGGGGGGAAAACAATAAAATGATCATGCAGCCAGCTTGTTTGCTGGGATTCAAACTTGGATCAAACTACAAATATTCAGCAACCACTGGTAAAAAAATGGTTAGCCTCTGGTGTTCTTGTTTTGTTTAGTCATAAACAGGGGCAGGTTAAGTCAGTTTTGAGCCCATAGTGGTAAAATGTTTGGGGCTTCTAAGTATATTCACATACCTATATGCAAGTAATGATAAAATATCATAAATGTACATTACATAACATTATAAATATTTTAATAAAACTGTGATTTGACATTTTTATTTTAAATATTCTTAGATTTACCTTTTTTCGAATTATTGATTTATTTAACTCTTCTTATTCTATTTATAATACTGTTATAGAGTTTCATCTTTTTTCTGACATCTTACTTCTTAATAGTTTTTTTGCTCTTCTTTAGACAGAGAAAGATTTGTCTACAAATGCATTGGGAACTGGAATAGTTAAAACACTAACTAAATTTTATATTAGGAAATGCTGATGACATTTCTCTGCCAACATGATATAGGTACTTACATGGCAGAACTCGTCTTCAGAGTCTTAAAAATAAATAAAACATATTCCACTTCATCATCAAAGTGCATATCTTTGCATTATCATTGTAAAACTCTTTGAACATATCTACACAGACATTTTTTTCTAAATTTGATAAATCTAAATTAAAGAATATTTAAAATTTTCAGCATTATTTTTATATACTTTATTTTTGTGAGCTGTTATAGTGTCACAAATGTTAACAGTATTAAAACTTTCACATGATGAAAGTAATTTAAATCTTTCATTATTTTTATTTAAAAAAAAATCCCACTATGTCCTAAAATTCTATTTTTTTTTTTAATGGCAGAGATGTCATAATAACCATCTCATTCCTGATGTCAGTTGTTCATGATAAAATCATGCAGCAGAATTTTTGTGAAATTTTAATACAGTCAAAAGTCGTTAATTCGGACTCGTCGGGACTTTGGCGATTCCGGATTATCGATTTTTCCAGATTATAGATCATCAGTTTAAATAGCGTAAGATGGCATGCAGAAAATTCTAAAATTAAAAAATATGAAACCGTAATTTATGAAATAACGAACTATATGATCCAAAGGGTATCAAAATTACAAAAAAAAAGCTTAATATTATTTGTATACTTTATTAAACATTTCTTTCAATGTAAGTTGTTTAAGTTGCTTCGTTTTATGTGATAATACTTTCTCTTTAATTCTATAAACAGATATAATTTTTTGTTCACTTACAAAGTTCCGCTGTTCAAGTCCCGTTAATTGCTGTGCCGAGAATACCGACTAACTTGTCAGTCGAAATTTTTTCGTTTTTCACTAACCCTCTCGTCACATTCTTCATGTCCTTTATCCAATTTTTGCAGCAATTCCACTTTTTGTTTGATGGACATCGAAACATACTTTCGTTTTGTACGATCCTTTGGGAGCTCCAGAATCAAAAAATTCTATTATTTGACATAATCGAAAGTTCAAGTTTACTTTTATAGTATTGCTCTTACAGTCTGCAAAAAATAATAAGCCGGATCCAATTCGAAAATTAAGGAACAACGCAATCATCAACATTAACTGAAATAGATAATTAGATAATTTTAGCTTACACCGTCCATTATACATAAAACGCGCACACGAAAACGTATTCTGCGCTTGCGCACACGCAAATGCGCAGTCGTAAGAGGTCTTATGCGCACGCGTAAATGCCTGTGCGCATGTGTCAACGTGGCGCATGCGCAGAAAGTTTTTAGCTTTGAGGTCCGAATTATAGATCATTTCGAATTATGGGTGTCCGAATTAACGACTTTTGACTATATATCAGTTTATTTAAATAGGGTACACTCAGTTGATTGTAGGGATTTGCTTGTGACATTCATTCCTTGCAGAATGATATTTCATATTATAGTCATGATTAATGTTTAATATTTACAGTTTTTTTTTAACCAAGGTGTAACCTTTGCTACATTTATTTTCTTTTCTGAACTAGAATACAGATGCCAGATGCATCCATACAGATACATACTCTTTCATATGGTTGTAACCAGTTTTCAGTGCAATTATTGCATTTGTTCCTGCCGACCATCTGTTATCGGATAATTTTTTCACCGATAAATTCGTTTCATATTTTCCCAGCTTTCTATCAAAAATTTATAGCAGGGGGGAAAAAAGTAACTTTTGTGCAAACATAAAATATTGAGCAATGATGCTGCAATTTTCTGCTGCAAAACTGCTCTCTAAATTAAAAAAAAAAAAAAAAAAAAAAAAAAAAAAAAAAAAAAAAAAAAAAAAAAAAAAATCACACTTGAAATAAAAAAAAATCACACTTGAAATTCAGTATTTAACATGCGCCTGCAATCCTGAGTATTTTTCTGATAGATTTGCTGGGTTGTCATTTGTTTGCCTTTGATGAAGTTTAATGTCAGTAACTAATTTTGCCAAAGCAGATGACACCTGTTCCAAATAAGATGCTGTATATTGTTTAATCAACATAAATCTTTTACGTCTTTTCTTTTACATCACCACTTAGCAATATGTACCTTATAATTAAAGTCAGTTGATCAATGCGTGAAATGACTTACATTTTTTTGTCTTTCATTACTGTATTTTTCTAAAAAATGATGCTGCAATTCAAAAATTGTTATATTAACTGACATACAACAAGTATATGAAAAAATTTTCCGTTTTGTTTGAATTTTGACTTTCTCTGTAACTTATAAACGTTAACATTTGAATTCTAGTTGAGTCAATAATTTTCTAGTTGATATAGTTTTTATCACACGTCTTTTCATTAATTTCTTTGTGTTCTATCTGTCGCAACAAATCCAATTTGTTTCTGTTAAATACTGAAAAATCTTTTATGCACAGTACATGTTTCAATCTTTAAATGTAAAATTAGGGAAGGGCCAAAATATATTCACACACGCGAATGCAGCCCCTCCAAAAAACTTAATGTTAATTTTTTTTTTTTTTTTACTTCCAATGACTAGGCAAAAAGTTGACATTGACTGCTGTATCTGTGAGCCCAGATTCAAAACTTGGAGAAGTCATGAATGCTTGTAAGCATATAGTGTCTGGGTGGTAAGGAGCGCTGAAAATAGACGATGAGCTGAAAGTCCTCTTGAGAGGGTGGTGATAGGGCAACAAAGGTGGGAGACCCTCGCTTTGCTTCCCAGAATGTTCTACCTTGAAACTTGAGTGAAAGCTTAACAGTTAGCAGGGCCCAACAACAGCTAATATATACATATGGAAATGCACAGGTGCTGGCCTTGCTTCAACTTGTACCTGTTGACACAGATTGAAAGAAAAATTGCAGATTTTGTATTTTCTCTCTGTGTCCCTCTTTTTAACCCACCCTCAAAATAGTAGAATCAAATTTTAATAAATGAAATATTAATATGTTGTTTTGTTGTACTGTTGCTACTAAACCATTTGATCAGAATATTTGTAATAACAGTGTACATAATAGCACTAATGTAATAGCTGTGCTGTCTCATTATGGAAATGAAGTCATTTTGCAACAAGGTGCAGTGATTTAAATTCATCTTCTGTATAATACTCTATTAATCAGGATGTAAATTGAAACCATAATTTATAAAACAAAATCATGCTTCGTGATGTTCCCAATACTTTTATGAAGGTGGCATGGCTAAAATTAACCCTCTCAGCATTACGGGCGGAAAATTCCATACAGAAAGTTGCCTTCCACATTCATTATACATGAAAATTTCTGCTAGCTTTTTAACGTATCTGATTTCAGTTTGGATGTATATTGGAAAAAAAAGGAATCAAGGTACAAAATGAAAGAGTCATTTTTTAATTAAAATCAAGAAAATATAACTTATTCATGACATTTGAGGAACTTTGAAATTTCAGGGCTAAACCCATAATGCTCAGAGGGTTAACAAATGAACTTAAAGGTGCAGGATATTTTATGCTGGAGCACCATTGGGAAAGTTTTGCATTGATGTGCACTGGGAAACCTACATAGAAATGGAATTACTATTTTGAAAGTCATGCAAGTCAGTCAGTTTGAAAGTCAGATTTATTAGGCCATTCGATTAGTAATAAGAGAAAAATAAAGGTTAACATATTTGTGGCATACATATTTGTATTAATATATTTCAACATAACAAATAATTGATATGATGTAAAAATAGCTTTCACGAATGAATACACCTATAAAGAATAATATACTTTTTCATTTGCAGTGGAGAAAATTTAAATTTAGTATTTCGCATTTTTTTTAATAATTTAATCCCGATACTTGTTTTAGGCTAATTTGCGTGCATTGTGAGTCTATCAAAATGTTCAAATTAATATCTTTATAGTTAGAAATGTTGACTCGTTTCTACGTCACGTAAATTAAATAAACATTAATAAAGCCTTATACAATGCACAGTTCACTTATTGAAGCATTGGATCCGAATTCTAAGCGAGCAGGCACAATGCTACACCCACAAGGCAGCAGCCTGATTTGTAACAGCCATTGGTAGCTTTTGTTCAAAGTACCTCCAAACTTTATAAGGAATAAGGAATGTTGTTTGCTGATTAGTGGCTCATCAACAGTTTTCGATAAAAGATCTTCGGTGATGCTTTCAAGCAGAATGTTTGGAAATCTTTCACAGTGGTCATTTCTGTAACAGTATCCGAAACTGACCAGTATTTCTTAGTAAATTAAAAATTAAACACATCAGTGGTGGTTATTTTCTGTTAAGCAATCACCTCTATGAGAAAACAAAATTGCTTGGACCTGCAAGGGGTTGTTTTTGGGAAGTTTCAGTGCATAATTTCTAAGAACAGAAAAAATAAGTGTGGAGACATTGAGTATTTTTTGAAAATAGGAGAGATGAAAAATGTGCAATGCCCTTGCTGGGATTCAAACCACAATGCTACACCCACACAAGACCTCTCGAATACGTGTTGAGCATGCTGACCGTTATACCACGCAGGTATGCTAAGGAGGTGGTAGAAATACCTTATATACTTCCCCTTTTAAAGGGCAACTGGAGATTAAGGAGACCCAATTGCCAAATCCTGGTGGGGGAGAATCATCATCCGCCTACTTTTTTAGTTCGGGCACCACTGTAGAGACATAAGGCATTTTTAGAAAGCAGGAGAGATGAAAAATGAGCAATGCCCTCACCAGGATGGTTATTCTATGCTACGAGAGTCGACAGCAAGTTGTGGGCCGCCAGATGTTGCTGCTGTGAAAAATAGGTCTGCCCGACATCTATATTATACGGTATGGAAGTGTCGAAAGCACGGAAAAAGTGTTGCCGCGTCGTCAATCGGTTTGTGAGTGATGTACTAAGAGACACTGGTTTGTATGTTTTTGCTGCGATTTTTCATTTAACAGAAGAATGCGGTGTGGTATCTCGAATCGAGGAATTATAGAAAATGTTTCTATCTTCTGGCTTGCTCTGCCAGAGATTTTTTGCGATTTCATTTGCAAAAATATAGTATTTTATTTGCAATGATGAGAGCGATTTAGAGGACAGATCAGAAAACATAAAATAATTTCTATGAAAGAAGGTTATTAAGATTCTGAATTATAATATAAATTGTAATTATATGCTTTAAAAATGTAGAAGATAATAAGTTATCAAACACGTAAACCTTCTTCATTTAGTTCGATTAGTAAGCAAAAATTATGTTTTTTTTAAAATCTAACAGCTGAATACCTACGAACATATTGTGGACACAAAAGAATGTCGTCATTATTACGGAAATCACACTACTGTAAAATAAAATTAAAAAAAAAAAGTTAAAAAACTATAAAATAGCTTTATAATATTTTTTCGTAGTATACTATTACTAGTTGATACTTTAAAAACAAGTTTAGTTCGAAGGCTAGTAATTTCGTTTTGCCAGTTGTGGCGTCTACAGTAAATGGCGTTTCACTTTAAACCATGCACAAATATATGCATGTATTATAAAGAATTAAATACTGAGGAATCTGCATACATGTATAATGTTTCTCGCAGTGATGAAACAATGGTACCTAGAGCCATGAAATTTGAATTTGAATAATAATCCTCCTCCTAATAAAGGCCGGAGCCCAAATTTGGAACTGGAAATTTGTTATTATCTATTTCATATTTTGTAAAGCATTAAGAGTGTTATAGAACGATTTCAAAGTGGCAATGGGCAACTTGTACGAAAAAAAAAAAAGAGGAAAAAAAATTTCATCTCTGGTGCGAGACTGGTATCGAAATTCTAAGATATGCTCTTAAAATTATGGATATGCTGTTGAATTGAATTTTTATGGTTTAATGAAACGAGCCCTTTGAAGTAGTAATAAAAATTGAAGCCTTTCAGTTTTTTTTTTTTGCGATTGTGTGTGGTGTAATTTTATATAGTTTAAAAACTGGTTTCTAAGGGAGGCTTTTGAGGGAAACTGACTCGATACACATTACACATCATTAAAGCCACGAAATGCGAGCGGCCAGCTCGTCGCGAGATTCGAACTTCGGACCAAATTACCTGCGTTTAACAACTCTACCACTCGGCCGCTGGTGGGCATATTAGCTGGATTATAGTGCATTATATTGATTATGCTATAAAGTAAATGCTAAGATGAGGGTTTTCTGGAATACAGTCAAGTCGTTGAATGCGGACACCTAATCCGGATATCTATATCAATCTACAAGCTACAAACTTTTGCGCATGCATCGAGATGATTGACGGACTTTTTACGGCTGCGAATAGCGTTGTGCACATGCGCAAAATTGCTTGGTTTTATGTGAACGGATGGTATTAGTAAGCTAAGCTAACTCATTCAGTTAATGTGCAGATGCGTGGTTCCTGAATCTTCGACTGGATGCGGCTTATTTTTTGCAGACTGTTAGGCAATTTTATAAAGTAAGCTTGAACTTTGATATATCAATAGAATTCTGATATATATTTACTAATGTAAAGGATTTACAAGCGAAAGATGTTTCGAAGTCCATTGAACAAAAAGTGGAAACTGCAACAAAAAAGGATAAAGGCTTATTCCTTGTGTCCAACATTCCGAAATCGTTATCATTTCACGCTCTTGCGGGCTCATGACTTGGAAGTTGATTGTCCACACTATCTTATCTCGGGCAGATTTTTTATTTTATTGGGCTTATCATTTCTTAAAAATGTAGATTTCATCCGATGTACCCGTCTTGCTATGATTAAATCAAATTTTGTCATTATAATCGCTTAGATGCAAGAAGTGACACAGGTATTGAAAACGAAAAAAATTTCGATTGACAAATTAGCGGTCGACACGGAAAGTGAGGACTTGAACAGCGGAACTTGTAGAATATGTTGTTTTAGAATTAAAGAGAAAAGTATTATCACATAAAAAACGAAGCAACCTTATTATTAAAAAAAATGTTAATAAGTAAACAAATAATATTCAGCTTTTTTTTGTAAATTGTGATACCCTTTAGCTCATAATTGTCTTTATTTCATCCCTTACGGCTTATATTTTAATTTAAATTTTGCATGCCATCTTACGATTTAAACTGATGATGTTAATCCGGAATCGCCGAGTCGGGGGGGGGGGCAATGTTAGTAGAGGAGTTCTCATTTTATGTGGTAAAAGAAATAGTTATTATATTTTTTTTAATGTGGCGAAAACGCTGGTTGTGACAGGATCGACTACCTGATTATTTTTACTTAGTCTTGCAGTGTGAAAATATATACTATTTTTTAAATTATTTTCACAGAATAAAATCTTTTGAGAAGGAAGAATATTAAAAATTAAGCAGTTCTTATATATATGAGAAGGAATTAAAAGAGTAAAAGCAACGTAATATAAAAAAAAAAAGTATAGTAATTGTGTGACAAAAATTGCAATACAAATTAATCACCATACAGGATAGATTAGTATAATTTTGTTATATATTATAATTGAAAAATATTTTCGTTCATGTTAATATAGAATAAATATTAAAATAAAACATTTTGCTGCATGTGTGAAGCTGAAATACAGCAGCAATCGGCCATACTGTAATAGCAAATGAATTTATTTCTTTTCTGAAAGAAAAAAGAAAACATTAAACATAGCAGAAGAATATAAAAAAATGAGAATATAAGAAATATTTTCTTTCCAATTTCTTACTTAAAGAAACTATTTTTTTAATTTAATTGCAAAATAAATGAAGGAAAACACAGGTTTAATGCAAGGCATGGGGGGAAAAAAGTAAATAAAAAGAACTTAGTTTGCTATAGATTGTAATGCAAAGTATCATATTATAAATTTAAATGATAAAATTGTTTATTCTAAAGATTTGAAGTAACCTTAATTCTTTAACTCTTACTATTTACTTTGCTTTCATGGTATCCCAATCACTCTTATTTCTTACC